ATGGATGATACCGAGCTGAATGGAGCTAGAGGAGCTACCGCTCTAGCGCCTACGGATATCGGTTCGAATATGGCTGTAGCTACTTCGGGTGGTTTAGCCGATTGGGTCCTGGGTCTGTTGATCGCTCTCCTTCTTCTCATTCTTGCGTTTGGTGCCATCTTTCTCTACCTTCATATTCGTAATCGCCGTCACAAGAAGCCCGGTACGAAACCAGGTCTGAATGGCGAGAGCAACGCTACTGCGTCAAACAGTTACGTGGATCCGAGCGCGTTTGACACAATCCCGATCAGAAGCGTGGCCGGAGTCGGGGCGAGCGGAAACGGTAGTTCTGCAAGTGGCGGAGGAGCGGGTGGCGGCGCTTCCTGTCAGTTTGCTCCTCCGAAATATGACGAAATACCTCCTTATGGAACATCCAGCCAATCCGGACAACAGCAAGCTACTTCCGAACTTTCCGGAAGCGATCAGTCGGGTTCTTCCGGCAGGGGCTCCGCCGAGGATGATGGGGACGACGAAGAAATCAGAATGATCAATGAGGGTCAGCAGACCGGTGATTCCGCGAGCGACCTTTCAGTTCACAATACTCAGGAATACTTGGCTAGATTGGGCATCGTGGATCCTCCAGCCGGTACGCCTAGGAGGCCTCCCGAAGCTTTGCCTATGGACAGTTTGCATCTATTTGAAGATGAGGCGAGCACCGAGGCAGATATAGCAACGTTGATTTATGGTAAGATTGGGGAATCTGGACGACCCACTTCTGGTCTGGAAGTACCAGGTGGGCCATCGATGAATGGTTCCCTAAGTTCCATCGTGCACAGCGAGGAGGAGCTCACTGGTTCGTACAATTGGGACTATCTATTAGACTGGGGACCCCAGTATCAACCGCTAGCTCATGTATTCAGCGAGATTGCTAGGCTAAAGGATGATGCCGCCAGCGTTCAAAGCGGAAACTCCGGCAGCAGCGGCAAGACCAAGTCTGTACATAAAGCACCACCGCCACCGTTGCTCACGTCTGTCGCTCCGAGATCGTTGGCGGCACCAGCGTTAGCGAGAGGAATTCTACCAAGGTCGCCGATCAGTCACGATGCCTCTACCTTCCCTTCCGCTGCGCTAAGTCCGAGTTTTTCTCCTTCATTATCACCCCTAGCTACGAGAAGTCCTAGCATTAGCCCCCTCGTACCACCCGCCACCCAGAGATCCAATCAAAGTGCCAACCGAGGAATTCCCGTCGCTGATGCTGAACTGAGGATTTGAGAATACTCTGATTTTAATCCGGCGTACTTTGCGTACTAATTTCTAGTGTTAATACAGTGATGACTCGTCGGGAATGCGACATCGGACGATGTGGTACCTCGTGTAATGCGAATAATTCCTGTTAATATGCGTTGTTAAATGTGATTTATTAATGGATATATGTATATTGCTCTCTCAGACTGTGCGAACAACGTGATCCGCGGGTATAGTGTTAACGAGTTATTTTAATTTAGTAATTTCAATTTGATCGGCCATGGCCGAATCGTTCTCCCCGTCACGCGCAAACGCTACTTTCCCGCGATTAATTGTTACTTAATTAATTAATTAACAAAATGTTAACAAAATGTAAACTTTATAGATAATTTCGATTCAACGCGAGGAGCGGTACGAGTAACTCAGATTGAAACAAAAAGCGAGAAAGCGGCGATTGCACCTTGATGATTCCATATCTGCTATATAATACAGACGTTCTTTATTCCGATCAATAGCTAATTGAAAACAAGTACTTTCTGAGCGGAATGTTGTAAATATCCGCCGATTGCGACGGCGTTTAGTCATTAAGTAGTATTGTAAATAATATTCTATGAGAATAACGATGTTGTCATAATCAAAAAGATATAGACTGTCCTTACCGTAAACCGGAAACCAAATGATCGCGCCATGTTTATCAAGCCTTCGCGTGAATGTGTGTACAGTAATCTAATTTTATTATATCGAATCGATTAATACTACGACGAACATGGCGATATCATTCGAATTAAAAATGAAAACGCTACCACGAGCGAACTGATCACATATTGCATTTCGTGGCAGCGTATCTTTAAAAGCGTCCATATACCATATTCGTTGATTAATTGTTACTTCGTCCCCCGAACGCGATCTCGATGTAACGAGGGATGGAATTTCTCAGCCCGATACATATATACATAACGCACTGAATATATATATA